AGAGACTAATGGGGCAGTGGTCCCAGGGGGGAGTGGCGGGGGGGTAGTGCTAAAGGGGTCAATAGGGCACGGGCCCCAGTGGGCAGTGCGGGGAATGATGTCTCGGAAGTAGTTAATGGGGTGAAGGCCCCAACAGGTGGTGGTCTGGAAGGGGTTAATGGGGTGGTGGCCCTGGAAGGCAGGGTGTGTATGTGGAGGGAGTTAATGGGACCGGCAGGAGGTGGGGGTGACGGTGCGGAAGGGGTTAATGGGGCGGAGGTCCCAGCAGGTGGTGGGGGTAACGGTGCGGAAGGGGTTAATGGGGCGGAGGTCCTGGCAGACGGTGGGGGTGACGGTGACGGTGAGGAAGGGGTTAATGGGGCGGAGGACCCGGAAGGCGGTGGGGGTGACGGTGCGGAAGGGGTCAATGGGGCGGAAGACCCAGCAGGCGGTGGGGGTGACGGTGCGGAAGGGGTCAATGGGGCGGAGGAACCGGCAGGCGGTGGGGGTGACGGTGCGGAAGGGGTTAATGGGGCGGAGGAACCGGCAGGCGGTGGGGGTGACGGTGCGGAAGGGGTTAATGGGGCGGAGGACCCGGCAGGCGGTGGGGGTGACGGTGCGGAAGGGGTTAATGGGTCGGAGGAACCGGCAGGCGGTGGGGGTGATGTCGCGGAAGGGGTTAATGGGGCGGAGGACCCTGCAGGCGGTGGGGGTGACGGTGCGGAAGGGGTTAATGGGGCGGAGGCCCCGGCAGGCAGTGGGGTGATGTCGCGGAAGGGGTTAATGGGGCGGAGGACCCGGCAGGCGGTGGGGTTGACGGTGCGGAAGGGGTTAATGGGGCGGAGGACCCAGCAGGCGGTGGGGGTGACGGTGCGGAAGGGGTTAATGGGGCAGAGGACACGGCAGGCGGTGGGGGTAACGGTGCGGAAGGGGTTAATGGGGCGGAGGAACCGGCAGGCGGTTGGGGTGATGTCGCGGAAGGGGTTAATGGGGCGCAGGACCCGGCAGGCGGTGGGGGTGACGGTGCGGAAGGGGTTAATGGGGCGGAGGACCCGGCAGGCGGTAGGGGTGACGGTGCGGAAGGGGTTAATGGGGCGGAGGACCCGGCAGGCGGTGGGGGTGACGGTACGGAAGGGGTTAATGGGGCGGAGGACCCGGCAGGCGGTGGGGGTGACGGTGCGGAAGGGGTTAATGGGGTGGAAGTCCCGTTAGGCGGTGGGGGTGACGGTGTGGAAGGGGTTAATGGGGCGGAGGACCCGGCAGGCGGTGGGGGTGACGGTGCGGAAGGGGTTAATGGGGCGGAGGAACCGGCAGGCGGTGGGGGTGACGGTGCGGAAGGGGTTAATGGGGTGGAAGTCCCGTTAGGCGGTGGGGGTGACGGTGCGGAAGGGGTTAATGGGGCAGAGGACCCGGCAGGCGGTGGGGGTGATGGTGCGGAAGGGGTTAATCGGGCGGAGGACCCGGCAGGCGGTGGGGGTGACGGTGCGGAAGGGGTTAATGGGGTGGAAGTCCCGTTAGGCGGTGGGGGTGACGGTGCGGAAGGGGTTAATGGGGCGGAGGCCCCGGCAGGCGGTGGGGTTGATGTCGCGGAAGGGGTTAATGGGGCGGAGGACCCGGCAGGCGGTGGGGGTGACGGTGCGGAACGGGTTAATGGGGCGGAGGAACCGGCAGGCGGTGGGGGTGATGGTGCAGAAGGGGTTAATGGGGCGGAGGAACCGGCAGGCGGTGGGGGTGACGGTGCGGAAGGGGTTAATGGGGCGGCGGACCCGGCAGGTGGTAGGGGTGATGTCGCGGAAGGGGTTAATGGGTCGGAGGAACCGGCAGGCGGTGGGGGTGACGGTGCAGAAGGGCTTAATGGGGCGGAGGACCCGGCAGGCGGTGGGGGTGACGGTGCGGAAGGGGTTAATGGGGCGGCGGACCCGGCAGGTGGGGTGAGGCGCGGAAGGGGTTAATGTGGGACCGCAGGCGGTGGGGGTGGAAGGGGTTAATGGGGCGGAGGAACCAGCAGGCGGTGGGGGTGACGGTGCGGAAGGGGTTAATGGGGCAGAGGACCCGGCAGGCGGTGGGGGTGACGGTGCGGAAGGGGTTAATGGGGCGGAGGACCCGGCAGGCGGTGGGGGTGACGGTGCGGAAGGGGTTAATGGGGCGGCGGACCCGGCAGGCGGTGGGGGTGACGGTGCGGAAGGGGTTAATGGGGCAGAGGACCCGGCAGGCGGTGGGGGTGACGGTGCGGAAGGGGTTAATGGGGCGGAGGACCCGGCAGGCAGTAGGGGTGACGGTGCGGAAGGGGTTAATGGGGCGGAGGACCCGGCAGGCGGTGGGGGTGGTGTCGCGGAAGGGGTCAATGGGGTGGAGGACCCGGCAGGCGGTGGGGGTGACGGTGTGGAAGGGGTTAATGGGGCGGAGGACCCGGCAGGCGGTGGGGGTGACGGTGCGGAAGGGGTTAATGGGGCGGAGGACCCGGCAGGCGGTGGGGGTGACGGTGCGGAAGGGGTTAATGGGGCGGAGGACCCGGCAGGCGGTGGGGGTGACGGTGCGGAAGGGGTTAATGGGGCGAGAGGACCCGGCAGGCGGTGGGGGTGACGGTGCGGAAGGGGTTAATGGGGCGGAGGATCCGGCAGGCGGTGGGGGTGACGGTGCGGAAGGGGTTAATGGGGCGGAGGACCCGGCAGGCGGTGGGGGTGACGGTGCGGAAGGGGTTAATGGGGCGGAGGACCCGGCAGGCGGTGGGGGTGACGGTGCGGAAGGGGTTAATGGGTCGGAGGACCCGGCAGGCGGTGGGGGTGACGGTGCGGAAGGGGTTAATGGGGCGGAGGAACCGGCAGGCGGTGGGGGTGACGGTGCGGAAGGGGTTAATGGGGCGGAGGAACCGGCAGGCGGTGGGGGTGATGGTGCGGAAGGGGTTAATGGGGCGGAGGAACCGGCAGGCGGTGGGGGTGATGGTGCGGAAGGGGTTAATGGGTCGGAGGAACCGGCAGGCGGTGGGGGTGACGGTGCGGAAGGGGTTAATGGGGCGGAGGACCCGGCAGGCGGTGGGGGTGACGGTGCGGAAGGGGTTAATGGGGCGGAGGACCCGGCAGGCGGTGGGGGTGACGGTGCGGAAGGGGTTAATGTGGCGGAGGACCCGGCAGGCGGTGGGGGTGGGTCGGAGGGGTGACGGTGGGGGGAGGCGGAAGGGGGGTTAATGGGGCGGAGAACCCGGCAGGCGGTGGGGGTGACGGTGCGGAAGGGGTTAATGGGGCGGAGGACCCGGCAGGCGGTGGGGGTGGTGTCGCGGAAGGGGTCAATGGGGTGGAGGACCCGGCAGGCGGTGGGGGTGACGGTGTGGAAGGGGTTAATGGGGCGGAGGACCCGGCAGGCGGTGGGGGTGACCGTGCGGAAGGGGTTAATGGGGCAGAGGTCGCGGCAGGCAATGGGGGTGACGGTGCGGAAGGGGTTAATGGGGCGGAGGACCCGGCAGGCGGTGGGGGTGACGGTGCGGAAGGGGTTAATGGGGCAGAGGACCCGGCAGGCGGTGGGGGTGACGGTGCGCGGGGTATGGGGGGGGGGGGGGGGGGGGGGTAGGAAGGGGTTAATGGGGCGGAGGATCCGGCAGGCGGTGGGGGTGACGGTGCGGAAGGGGTTAATGGGGGAGCGGCAGGGGGCGGAGGACCCGGCAGGCGGTGGGGGTGACGGTGCGGAAGGGGTTAATGGGGCAGAGGACCCGGCAGGCGGTGGGGGTGACGGTGCGGAAGGGGTTAATGGGTCGGAGGACCCGGCAGGCGGTGGGGGTGACGGTGCGGAAGGGGTTAATGGGGCGGAGGAACCGACAGGCGGTGGGGGTGACGGTGCGGAAGGGGTTAATGGGGCGGAGGAACCGGCAGCCGGTGGGGGTGATGGTGCGGAAGGGGTTAATGGGGCGGAGGAACCGGCAGGCGGTGGGGGTGACGGTGCGGAAGGGGTTAATGGGTCGGAGGAACCGGCAGGCGGTGGGGGTGACGGTGCGGAAGGGGTTAATGGGGCGGAGGACCCGGCAGGCGGTGGGGGTGACGGTGCGGAAGGGGTTAATGGGGCGGAGGACCCGGCAGGCGGTGGGGGTGACGGTGCGGAAGGGGTTAATGGGGCGGAGGACCCGGCAGGCGGTGGGGGTGACGGTGCGGAAGGGGTTAATGGGGCGGAGAACCCGGCAGGCGGTGGGGGTGACGGTGCGGAAGGGGTTAATGGGGCGGAGGACCCGGCAGGCGGTGGGGGTGACGGTGCGGAAGGGGTTAATGGGGCAGAGGACCCGGCAGGCGGTGGGGGTGACCGTGCGGAAGGGGTTAATGGGGCGGAGGAACCGGCAGGCGGTGGGGGTGACGGTGCGGAAGGGGTTAATGGGTCGGAGGACCCGGCAGGCGGTGGGGGTGACGGTGCGGAAGGGGTTAATGGGGCGGAGGATCCGGCAGGCGGTGGGGGTGACGGTGCGGAAGGGGTTAATGGGGCGGCGGACCCGGCAGGCGGTGGGGGTGACGGTGCGGAAGGGGTTAATGGGGCGGCGGACCCGGCAGGCGGTGGGGGTGACGGTGCGGAAGGGGTTAATGGGGCAGAGGACCCGGCAGGCGGTGGGGGTGACGGTGCGGAAGGGGTTAATGGCGCAGAGGATCCGGCAGGCGGTGGGGGTGACGGTGCGGAAGGGGTTAATGGCGCAGAGGATCCGGCAGGCGGTGGGGGTGACGGTGCGGAAGGGGTTAATGGCGCAGAGGATCCGGCAGGCGGTGGGGGTGACGGTGCGGAAGGGGTTAATGGCGCAGAGGATCCGGCAGGCGGTGTAAGTGATGTCACAGAAGGGATTAATGGAGCGTTGGTCCTGCCCGCCCGTGTGGGGTGATGACGGTAAAGAGTTTGGCGGGGGCGGCTGGGCAGAGCTACGCCTTACGCTTCAGTGCCTGGATGTTGAACCTCACTTGCTCGAAGGCAGGCGGGTAATCGTGCGTGGCTTGACTCCTTAGCGGGAACCAGGATGGTATCGCGATAACACGCGTCTCGCGGTTCTTGGGTAGCGCGCGGTTTTGGTGGCTGGGTGGGTCTCGCGACACTCATAGCTCTCGTGGCGCGCGGTAGGAAGCTTGGCGCGTGAGTTTGTGTGAGTGGAGCGGCCTCCGGAGCTTTCGCGCCAGCCAGCCAGCCATGCCGGCCCGCAACACCCCGAGCAGCGGCGGTGAGTGGCGGTCTCTTCCCAGGCATGCGGGATTCTGAGTGGGAAGGGGACAGAGCGGCGGGGATGTGCCTGGGGCTGGAGGGGAGGTTTTACTGTGTGTGTGTGTGTGTGTGTAGGGCTGGAGGGAGCTGGGTGCCGGGGGCTGGCGGGAAGGAGAGGGCGGGGCGAGGGGGAGTGCCGGGGGCAAGGGGAGAGTGCCGGGGCTTGGAGGGAAGGAGAGGGCGGGGTGGGGGGGGAGTGCCGGGGGCTGGCGGGAAGGAGAGGGCGGGGTGGGGGAGGAGTGCCGGGGGCAAGGGGAGAGTGCCGGGGGCTGGAGGGTGGAGGGCGGGGCGCAGTGCCGGGGGCTAGAGGAGGAAAAGAGGGCACATGGGTTGAGGGGGTGCGTGTGAAGTGTTGAGGGGAGGGAGGGAGGGAGGCAGGCGGGTGTATGTGTCAGAGGGTTCGGAGGTGTGGGTATTGGGCTGAGAAGTGTGGATACAGGTGCAGGAGGTGGGACAGTGAGGGAAGGGAACGGCTGCAAAGGGTCTGGATGGGGTTGATAGTAAATAATTGCAGTGATTAGAGGGGAACCTTCTCCACAATGTATCTCAACATTTCATGTACAGGGTCAGAGAATTGCCACTGAGCTCCAATGAGAACAAGCCTGAGACTGTTGTGCCCATTTGTATGGCAAGTGCCAGCTGATTGCTGAGCCAGTGATGCTTCCTGCGGTATTGTGCAGAAAGGAGCATCTGCTACTGTCCTCTCTGCAGGCAGGCTGGCGAACTTTGGGCTTATTAATGGTGTTCATGCTATTGTAGGGCACCTGGGGGCAGAGATGGGTGAACAAGCAGAAGCAGCCGTGATTACACCATCCATGCTGGAAGAGGAGGAGCAGCTGGAGGCAGCAGGGATGGAGAAGGAGAGGCAAATGCTGGAAAAGGTAAATTGAAGGGCGTAATCAAAGTTAAAATATTTCTGCCACCTCTACCTATCTGTCACCAGCAAAGCCAAAAATTATGTATTACTTTCTGCCTGTGGGGGCAGATTTGTTGTGTTCACTTAACTGAATCATTGGCATACTTGAACCTGATTTGTTGGTACTTGTAAAGTTGGGCTAGGCATGCTCTTAATTATCTACAGCTATGCTTTCCAGAGTGGAAATGATTCAACAGAGTGCACTTCAAGTGAAATCTGTTTCACAGAAGCTGTGAGAGTTAATATTTTGTTATGGTCAAAGGACAGCATTATTAACATTTTTTTACCTTATCAACAATGGATTTTTAAGCGGACACTCAGCTTACAACTTTGTTAAATAAATTTGTTTTTTTAAACTATGTTACTAATAACACAAGCTTGATAAAAGCTTTAGAACTTAAAATCCAATATAGCTGTCACCATTTATCTGTGTCATTTCTTGGGCCTAAAAGTACTGAATGTTATACTTTAAAAAATTATTTGGAAAAGGGCAGTAGATTTATAGTGAGTTGATAGGCAGTTCACAACAGTTTGAATCTCCCATTATGCTCAAATAAATTGGTTAGTCTCTAAGGTGCCACAAGTACTCCTTTTCTTTTTGCGAATACAGACTAACACGGCTGTTACTCTGAAACTAGTCATCATCTATTATTTGTGTATGGTTTTTCTACACAGCAGGGAAGAATAAGCTTTTTTTTAAATGGAAACATGAATATAGCACCACAAAAATTGCCTGGACTAGTACCTGAAACTACTTTAAAATAATTTTTTCATTGACTGCATTTCAGTTTGACAGTATCCCTTTAAGCTTGAGTATTTTAAACTGCTATGGCTAGAAACTAGTATTTTATACATCATGTAATTATAGCCTCCAGTGAATAATAACCATAGCTAGAAATTAATACTTATGGTAAGCAGTAGTCATCTCTAAATTTAGCAGTTTCTGAGAATGTCTCCAAAAATTATGTTACACTTAAAGTGGGGGTGAAATGAGATGATCAGAATGTTATGATTTTTCTGAAAGAGACAACATGGATGAAGTAATACTTTTTTGGGGACCAGTTTCTTTGGTGAGAGAGACAAGCTTTTGAGCTTACAACAGAGCTGTTCAGGTTTAGGAAACTACCTGGAGTGTCACTGTTAAATACAAAATGGAACAGATGGTTTAGCATAAGTAGTTAATACATATTTCAAGGGACCATTCAAGGTGAAGTGGCCCGTTAACACTCCTGCAGTCCTGAAAGGATGGGAGGGAAGAAAAGGCAGCTTGGTGGTGGTGGGGTCATTAGCTGGTTATAGATTGTTGTAATAAGCTATAAATCCAGTGTGTCTGTTCCAGTGGTTCTCAACCAGGGGTAGGTAGAAGTCTTCCAAAGGGTACTCAGCTCATCTAGATCACTGTTTCTTGATCTGGGGCTTGCAGCCCCGAGGGTGGTCATGGGATTGGTTTAGGCGGGTTGCAAATGCATGGCTGCATTAGGAGGTGGCAAGCAGAGCAGTTGCCTGGGGCCCCATGCAAAGCTAAGTTACATACTTCAAACCCAGGCGGCAGGGCTTGGGCTTCAGACAAGGCTTACAAGTGAAAAACAGGCTCAGTATCACCGTGAAATGTAAGTACAATACTTCTATTCATAGAATATCAGAGTTGGAAGGGACCTCTGGAGGTCATCTAGTCCAACCCCCTGCCCAGAGCAGGACCAGTCCCCAACTAAATCATCCTAGCCAGGACTATATCAAGCCTGACCGTAAAAACTTCTAAGGAAGGGGATTCCACCACCTCCCTAGGTAACGCATTCCAGTGTTTCACCACCCTCCTAGTGAAAGTTTTTCCTAATATCCAATCTAAATCTCCCCCACTGCAACTTGAGACCATTACTCCTTGTCCTGTCATCTGCTATCACTGAGAATAGTCTAGATCCATCCTCTTTGGATCCACCTTCCAGGTAGTTAAAGGCAGCTATCAAATCCCCCCTCATTCTTCTCTTCCGTAGACTAAACAATCCCAATTCCCTCAGCCTCTCCTCATAAGTCATGTGTTCCAGACCCCTAATAATTTTTGTTGCCCTTCGCTGGCCTCTCCAGTTTCTCCACATCCTTCTTTTAGCGTGGGGCCCAAAACCGGACACAGTACTCCAGATGAGGCCTCGCCAATGTCGAATAGAGAGGAACGATCACCTCCCTCGATCTACTGGCAATGCCCCTACTTATACACCCCAAAATGCCATTGGCCTTCTTGGCAACAAGGGCACACTGTTGACTCATATATCCAGCTTCTCGTCCACTGTAACCCCTAGGTCCTTTTCTGCAGAACTGCTGCTGAGCCATTCGGTCCCTAGTCTGTAGCGGTGCATTGGATTCTTCTGTCCTAAGTGCAGGATTCTGCACTTGTCCTTGTTGAACCTCATCAGATTTCTTTTGGCCCAATCCTCCAATTTGTCTAGGTCCCTCTGTATCCTATTCCTACCCTCCAGCGTATCTACCACTCCTTCCAGTTTAGTGTCATCTGCAAACTTGCTGAGGGAGCAATCCACACCATCCTCCAGATCGTTAATGAAGATATTGAACAGAACCGGCCCCAGGACTGACCCTTGGGGCACTCCGTTAGATACCGGCTGCCAACTAGACATGGAGCCATTGATCACTACCCGTTGAGCCTGACAATCTAGCCAACTTTCTACCTACCTTGTAGTGCGTCCATCCAGCCCATACTTCTTTAACTTGCTGACAAGAATAGTGTGGGAGACCGTGTCAAAAGCTTTGCTAAAGTCAGGGAATAACACGTCCACTGTTTTCCCTTCATCCACAGAGCCAGTTATCTCATTATAGAAGGCAATTAGATTAGTCAGGCATGACTTGCCCTTGGTGAATCCATGCTGACTGTTCCTGATCACTTTCCTCTCCTCTAAGTGCTTCAGAATTGATTCCTTGAGGACCTGCTCCATGATTTTTCCAGGGACTGAGGTGAGGCTGACTGGCCTGTAGTTCCCTGGATCATCCTCCTTCCCTTTTTTTGAAGATTGGCACTACGTTAGCCTTTTTTCAGTCTTCTGGGACTTCCCCCGATCGCCATAAGTTTTCAAAGATAATGGCCAATGGCTCTACAATCACATCCGCCCATTCCTTTAGCACTCTCAGATGCAACGCATCCAGCCCCATGGACTTGTGCACGTCCAGTTTTTCTAAATAGTCCCGAACCACTTCTTTCTTCACAGAGGGCTGGCCACCTCCTCCCCATGCTGTGCTGCCCAGTGCAGTAGTCTGGGAGCTGACCTTGTTTGCGAAGACAGAGGCAAAAAAAGCATTGAGTACATTAGCTTTTTCCACATCCTCTGTCACTAGGTTGCCTCCCTCATTCAGAAAGGGGCCCATGCTTTCCTTGACTTCCTTCTTGTTGCCAATGTACCTGAAGAAACCCTTCTTGTTACTCTTAACATCTCTCGCTAGCTGCAACTCTGGGTGTGATTTAGCCTTCCTGATTTCATTCCTACATGCCCGAGCAATATTTTTATCCCTGGTCATTTGTCCAATCTTCCACTTCTTGTAAGCTTCTTTTCTGTGTTTAAGATCAGCAGGCATTTCACTGTTAAGCCAAGCTGGTCGCCTGCATATTTACTCTTCTTTCTACACATCGGGATGGTTTGTCCCTGTAACCACAATAAGGATTCTTTAAAATACAGCCAGCTCTTCTGGACTCCTTTCCCCCTCGTGTTGTTCTCCCAGGGGATCCTGCCCATCAGTTCCCGGAGGGAGTCAGTCTGCTTTTCTGAAGTCTAGGGTCCATATTCTGCTGCTTTCCTTTCTTCCTTGTGTCAGGATCCTGAACTTGACCATCTCATGGTCACTGCCTCCCAGGTTCCCATCCACTTTTGCTTCCCATACTAATTCTTCCTGGTTTGTGAGCAGCAGGTCAAGAAGAGCTCTGCCCCTAGTTGGTTCCTCCAGCACTTGCACCAGGAAATTGTCCCCTACGCTTTCCAAAAACTTCCTGGATTGTCTGTGCACCGCTGTATTGCTCTCCCAGCAGATATCAGGATGATTGAAGTCGCCCATGAGAACCAGGGCGTGCGATCTAGTAGCTTCTGTGAGTTGCCGGAAGAGTATTCCAATGAATCTGTTTTATAATTATATGGTAAAAATGAGAAACGAAGCAATTTTTCAGTACTAGTGTGCTGTGACACTTTTGTATTTTTATGTCTAATTTTGTAAACAAGTAGTTTTTAAATTAGGTGAAACTGGGGGTACTCAAGACAAATCAGATTCTTGAAAGGGGTACAGTTGTCTGGAAAGGTTGAGAACCACTGGTCTGTTCAGTCCCTGATTTTTAATGTCTAGCAAAGTTATGAATTTAAGCTCCCAGGCTCGTCTTTTGAAAGTGTTGTGCAGATTTCCTTGGAGAATGAGGACTGAGAGGTCAGATATGGAGTTATCATTTTGTGAAAAGCATTTGCCACCAGGTGATGTGGTGTTTTTGTCTTATCATTTTGCTATGCGTGTTCATTTGAGAGCATAGTGATTATCTGGTTTCAGCCACATAGTTGTTGTTGGGGCATTTAGTGCACTGGATGAGGTACATTGTATGTTGTGATGGACGTGTAGGGCTTATGGATCTTGAAAGGTGTGTTGTGGGGGATGGGGGTAGATCATTGTAGCAATAGAGATCTGTATACGGGTTTTGTCTGTTGTTCTGGTAGGGTCCGGTACCTCTCTGAGTTGATTTGTCCTGATCTGAGGGGAGCTTGCTTCTGATGATGAGCTTGGAGAGGCTGGGGTGTGATTGAAGGCCAGAAGAGAAGGTTCAGGAAAGATTTCTTTCAGTGTTGGAGGCAAAGTGGTGTTTGGGGTGGCGGCTGACAGCTCGTGACCCCCTCAGAGGCCCAACCCCCAGTTTGAGAACCCCTGCTTTAAGGTGTATATCCTGGACGTTCTCGTCAGAGCACATTATGTGGAATCTGAGTGCCTGGCTGT